AAAAAAAAAAAAAAAAGCAGTAGCAGGCATCACTCCCCAGGAGGAGTGCAGTTTGTAAATTTAGTCCTTCTGGAAAATTGTGATGTCTGTTTCACGGTCGACATCTTATCTTGCGGCATCTTGGTTAACTGGATATCAACTTCCGCTTCCTTTTTTCGGTCATTTTGCTGCTTTTCTAGGACGAAGGAACAAATTTAAGTCCACTTCTTGAAGTCAAGCCTAAGAATATTTTTGCATGCTTTTTTTATCCCTGACCCAGGTTACTGAACTTTTAAAGAGATTATGCTGTTGCCTTAGTGTAGTTTCTGAGGTTATGTCTCAGAGCATTGTCCATAACGTGAAGAAAGAGAAGTATAAGGAAGGGAAAATCGAAACTCTTCTCTAATTCAGAGCTTTAGAGAAAAACATATTTGTTGCTTAAATTATATAAATGATAGAGGGTTATGCCTTGGCCGGTGGGGGGTGGGGGGAGTCTTATATAGCTGTGGACCGTTTCTGCACTGGGAAATGAGAGGTGGAGATTTGGAAATATTCGGGATATTTTGATTAGTGTCAACTGTCCACTTGGAAAAACCAACATTTTAAAATGGATTTGGGTGGGAAAGTTAGCTGTATGTGTCAGCCAAGTCAGATGGACGGGCATTCACATCAATTTGTGCTGGATGGGCAAAACCTCACTCAAAAGTCTTCTTTTCTAAGCCCAAGAATGTCTGTATGAAAGAAGTAGTTGACAAGCCGATGCCACTTTTACAACGTAGTATTATTCTTTGGTAACGCCGTGTTAGTTCATTTCTCCAGATGGTTCTTTATTCCAGTGGGGTGAACGGGCTAAGTCACTGACCACACCCATGCGGCTGTGTGTGTGTTTCAGACGTTAAGTGGATAGACATCACGCCAGACATGATGGTACAGGAGAGGCCTCTTGATGTTGACTGTAAACGCCTAAGCCCTGGTGAGTTCCTTCTTCTCGAAGTCCCTTTTTTTTTTTTTTTTGCCTCCTCCCCAGAGTGATTTCCGAACACTTTTCCGACTCTCTGCCTCTCTTTCGTCTCCTTCAGACCGCTGCAAGTGCAAAAAGGTGAAGCCGACTCTGGCGACGTATCTGAGCAAAAACTACAGCTACGGTAAGTCATCCGATGAAGCCGTTCACTTGACGAGTTGGCCAATTACAAAGCCAGTCACGAAGCCAATCCCAAAGTAAAGAAAGCCAATCCCAACGTGGTTCACGATGTGGGTTCTGGAAGGCACAATAACAACTATAAAATGCCTTGCTCTTCTGGGTAAATCAAGCAAAAACAACGTAAATTACCCAGGGAGAACAGCGATGTGGCTCAGGGCTCAAATGTGACATCAAGGTCCTCTTGGTCTCGGTGAGAGGTGCCACTCAGCCAGGACAGCCCAACTGACTTTTTCTTTTCCTGAGGTTTCCTTGCTGCAGGAAGGATGGGTGAGCGATCCATGGATTTGATTATCTGAGGCCCAGAGGCCCAGGAACTAAGACCTGCCCATGTTTCTTTTTAGTTATAAACACTTATAGATATTTAACACCTAAAAGAAACTGTAGAGAAATAGGTTAATCATGAGACCCTCTGGCTATAAGTATTGACATCATTTAAATGCCCTCCTCTCTTATTTGAAAGAACAGTCAACACGGCTATTTTCAATTTTTTTAAGTAAATGTAATTCTACTGTTCTCATTTGAAAGTAAATTTAATTGAAAATATGTTCTTTTAAAATATCTGACTTGTTTTATATTCCTTTGCATTTCTTTTTTTTTTTTTAATGTTTATTTATTTATTTCTGAGAGAGAGAGCTAGAGAGCGAGCAGGGAAGGGGCAGAGAGAGAGGGAGACAGAATCCCAAGCAGTCTCCCTGCTATCAGCACAGAGCCCAATGCGGGACACGAACTCACAAACCTTGACATCATGACCTGAGTTGAAACCAAGAGCTGGACGCTTAACCGACTGAGCTACCCAGGCACCCCCCCCACCTTTGCATTTCTTAAATTACTTCTGCTGGAATAACAGAACTGTTTTGGCAAAATGGTCATTTTATTTGTTAACTTTGTTTTCCATATTTCAAACTGAAATTTGAAATCATAAACCTTATGTTACATATCGCATGTGAAAGTAGGAAGATCGTGGCAATATAAAGGGCTGAAAAAATAACCTCTTAGTGAAGTTGTTAGATTTGAGATTATAGCCAATGTGGGTAACTCTACCAAAAAAAGAAAAAAAAAAAACAACTGACTTTTCCGGTAGCTTTTATTGTTGTCGTTTGAAAACTGTTCTTTGTAGATATTACGTTAATCTAAACGATTTTGCCCCTCCTCTGACACTATCCAGCCCTAGTTGCTAATCTGAGTTTCACTGTCTTGCTGTCCACGGTGTCATTGCCACATAACTTCTTTGAGGATGAAACCATTTTCTATTTAAGTCCGTTGCCTTCTTCCTAAACCAGCTTTCTAGGACAGAATCCAAGACAGAGATCCATGCTAGGCTGATTACAATTCCATGGAAGGCAGTAATAGCAAGGGACCAAAAGGGCCAAAATTTTAAGCTTGATCAGACAGTGATTACTTAACAGCTATCCGTAATAACAGTTATACATCCGCTTGCCGCAGACCTCACTTTGACAGTCTGTGAAATTAAAGGATTAAGAATAGTGATCTTCAGAGACTCTGTCCAGGTCACAAATGTTACAGCTTTAATAACTTCCTTCGGAAGACAGGAAGTCCCAGCATCAGACAGGCGGTTGGACCATACAAATTGTAAAGTGGCTTGTGACTCTGAGAACATACGATTCTCACTTCCGATAATCACAAGGCAGAGTCTACTTGTTTCTATGAAATTTTTACTGACGTTCTATGTAACTGAATCTCCTGATATGTTCTCGGCAAACAAACGTCCAAACAAAACTGACGTCAGGTTTTTAAGGCTGAGAAAAACCTGCGAGGTTCTGTTTTCACATCCTCTCTGTAGCCCAGTGAGGAGCAGTCGCTGACCCAGAGGCAGAGCCCAGACCGAGCCCGCCTGTCGCTTTGCTCTTACGTCTTGCAGGCTGATCCAGAACTTTAAAGACAATGCTGACAGTATGATTGTGTGGGCTTTTGGCCTGCATCTGGGCAGCTTGGACATGACCATAATTACAGGAGGGATTCTTTAAGAGAGGCTCAGGGCTTGGCGTGAATACACCATCCCTATTTGTCTGCAGAGGCCTCATCAACACTTCCATCAATTTTTAAATTGCAGTCATTCACGCCAAAATAAAAGCTGTGCAGAGAAGCGGCTGTAACGAAGTAACGACCGTGGTGGACGTGAAAGAGATCTTCAAGTCCTCGTCACCCATCCCTCGGACGCAGGTCCCGCTCATTACCAATTCTTCCTGCCAGTGCCCCCACATCCTGCCCCATCAAGATGTGCTCATCATGTGTTACGAGTGGCGCTCCAGGTAGGCACAGAGCGGGAGGGAGGAAACCGCACACTGCTTAATGGAAACGTGAATCCCATTTACCAGTCGTGGTGTTTTTTGTTTTTTGTTTTTTTTTTAACGGCGCCAGTAGTTCTTTTTACAAAGGCAGTTTAAGGGGCGCCTAGGTGGCTCGGTAGGTTGAGCACCCGACTCTCGATTTCGGCTCAGATCATGATCCCAGGGTTGTGGGATCGAGCCCCACGTCAGGCTCTGTGCTGAGTGCGGAGCCTGCTTAAGATTCTCTCTCTCTCTCTCTCTCTGTCTCTCTCTGTCTCTCTCTCTCTCTTCTCTTTCTAAATAAATAAATAAATAGACAATTTAAAAATAGTTCAGTAGGGGCGCCTGGGTGGTGCAGTCGGTTAAGCATCCGACTTCAGCCAGGTCACGATCTCGCGGTCCGTGAGTTCGAGCCCCGCATCAGGCTCTGGGCTGATGACTCAGAGCCTGGAGCCTGTTTCCGATTCTGTGTCTCCCTCTCTCTCTGCCCCTCCCCCGTTCATGCTCTGTCTCTCTCTGTCCCAAAAATAAAAATAAACGTTGAAAAAGAATTTAAAAAAAAAATAATAAAAATAAAAATAGTTCAGTAAATAAAAATACAATTTCAACAGATGCCTCTGTTGCAATAATCACATAGCCTAAATATCATTTAATTCCCTGTGGCATTAAGGAACAGTAGGAATATGAGTATTTGAGTGGGATGCTTAAAAATCAATTTCAGAATTCGTTAAAGGACTTCAAAAATCGTAGGCAGATAAATTACTATGAGTGAAAACAATTCTTTTCAAATGATTCAAATCAATCTTGGTGTGGCAAATACTTTAATTTTTTTAAAGAGCTCTTTAATGATCAGGTAAAGATGGCCATTTGAGACGACAGGTCCACATTTCCTTACACACAATATAAGTACATGACATTTGTTTGATAGATCATTGCGTACACACACACATTCGCACTCATGCTCACACACATATATCCGCGTACCTCTAGCTGGGAGTGTGTTTCCCCACATCTCTTTTCTTGGCATATTTTTATATATTGGTACATTCCTTAGAATGTAAAAATCAAACTCTTCAGACCAGGGTGCGGAATGGGCCCCCTAACTGGCTGCAGTATACATCTCCAACAGAATCATTCATATTTTATATAACCAGTCTTCCCTTTAATTCCCTGCCATTAATGCTCATCTGTTTCTTCTGGGTACAGCTGTGGACTGTTTTTTCAAAACACCTTTTGCAACTGACCTCACTTGAATACCTTCCTGATCTGTATTCTATCTTTCCTGATCTATACCCTTGGCTTTTTTTTTTTTCTTTAATGTTTATTTATTTATCTTGAGAGAGAGCAAAGGAGGGGCAGAGAGAGAATCCCAAGCAGGCTCCGTCCCTGTCAGTGCAGAGCCTGACTCGGAGCTCGATCCCACGATTGTAAGATCATGATCTGAGCTGAAGTCAAGAGTTAGACACTCAACCAACTGAGCCACCCAGGTGCCTCATGGGTATTCTTGGCTTTCAAACTGTTCTCCTTATATCTTGTCTCTCTAAAGAACGAATGAATGTTGACTGAATGTTGCTGGGCTCTTCTCTCGCATGGTGTTTGTACCTGGTACAGGACTAGGTGCAGTTCTGGGAATGTACCAGACTGCTAGTCATCAAATTCTGTTTGGATTCCCGTCATCCTTTCTGTTCATTTATAGATTTAATGGCATTCTGATGAAAATACCAGTAAAAAATATTTTCGAATGATCGGGATTTATGTCTTCACACAATGATCATTTGGAAGCACAAACTGGCAAGGGCGTGTAAAGGACATTTTGAAAATAACCGTTTGGAAGGAAATCGGTTTCTGCCTCAGGAGAAACAGAAAACTGGAACAAAGCTAGACTGCTAAAACCATGTGGTACAAGAGTAGACATGCAGATAAATAAAACAGAGGAAGCATTCGTGAGACGGATGCTAATGCGTAAAGTACCGTATTAGGAAGGAAAAAGGGCAAATCCATTAGACGTGAGTATATTAGTTAGTAAATGTTGCAAATGTTTTTATTTGGAAAAATAGTACATATTTTCACTTTATACTAATACCATAAAATGAATTTCAAATGGATTCAAGAGATATTTTTTAAAACTTAATCATAGAGGGTAAAATTAGGTGAATAGATAGATGTATGAAATCTGAATAACAAAATACTTTGCAAACATGAAATTAATGTAAAAAATTACAAGAGGAAATGTCAATACATACCTTGGATGACATTATATCATGGACATAAAAATCAGCAAAGAAAGCCAATAAAAGTTGAGAAAGATACTTGTAATAGTTATGGCAAAGGGAGAGTAGCCTTACTCTGTAAAGAGTTCATATAAGTTAATATTTAACACATTAAGACTACAATATATAAATAATATGTACATAAATCTATATGGACACGTTCCAGAAGAAATACAAAGAGTAAATAAATTTACCTCTTTAATTCTCCAATCCAGAGTAAAACATGATCTGAATGAAAGTTCAACCATTCTGAAAACGATTTAGAAAACTTTGAGAAAGTACATACTCTTGGACCCAGTAATTCTACTTTAAGAAATCTGTCCTAAGGAAATAATAACCCAGTGCACACTAGTAAATATACAAGGATATTCAACAAAAAGCTGTTAATAGTAATGAAGCAATGAAAGGGATTCAACAGTAGAGAAAGGCCTAAGTATCATTATTGCAATATTATGTGGTTATTAAAGCAGTATTCTAATTATATGAGAAAATGCATATAATAGAATGATAAAAAGAACTGTACAGTGGGATCTAAATATATAGTGTGATTTAAGAATATAGGTACAAGGAAGAATAAAAGGAAATGCTAGTAAAATATAAATGGGGGATATGTGGATTGTAGAGTTAAGGGTTATAAAGAATTTTGATTTGTAGGGGCACCTGGGTGGCTCACTTGGTTAAGCATCTGACTCTTGATTTTGGCTCAGGTCATGATCGCACAGTCGTGAAAAGGAGCCTCACGTCTTATGCTTAGCATGGAGCCTGATTTAGATTGTATCTCTCTTCCTCTGCCCCTCTCCCTGGCTTGCACACTCTCTCTCTGTCTCTAAAAAAAGAAAAGAAAAGAAAAGGAAGGGAAAGGGAAAGGGAAAGAAAAAGAAAACAACGAATTTTGGATTTGACAATTTTTTTGTATTTTTTTTTAACTTTTTCCTTTCATAATCAGAATTGCTTAAAATAAATTCCTTTCTTTTTTTTTTCAGGATGATGCTTCTTGAAAACTGTTTAGTTGAAAAATGGAGAGACCAACTTAGTAAAAGATCCATAGTAAGTATAATTAGCAACCCTGCGCATATGGATTTAAGCGCAGGTAAAGAAATTCTATAGAACTGGGGATTCTTCCTTCACCTTCTTCCATCTCCAGGCTCTCATAGGAGGTTGAAATAGCATCAGTATTTGTCTTTCGAATAAGTAGTTAAGAACAAAGTTATTCTCACTTCAACCTCAAAGATGATTTGTTACATTCAATCTTCATCTAATGGTTATTTCCAGATTAAATTAGGGTTTGTTTTTTTTGGTTTTTGTTTTTGTTTGTTGTTTGTTTGCTTTTAACTATTTTAGCAAACAGTCAGGCACTTGAGCAGAGTTCACATCCAGCGGGATTAAAACAGACATATACATGTAATGGTGTGAACCCACAATTCTAAAATCCATGCTACTGTCTCTGTACAAAGCATAATCTATCCCCATATTTAAAATAGTTTTGAGACTTTTGTCAAAATAAATTATATATACCAACTGTAATCATTTTGTGGCCAAATCCATGATTTTTGGTGGTATCATCATAGAAATATTCGCAATGCAATTAGAGGATTAGAATAATTTTTTGCCCAGAGATATGCTGTCACACCAGAACTAAAGAAATCAGGTCATTGGTTTGAAATGTTTAAAGCATTCCCTCTCCTGTAAATACGTTTAGATAGATGTAGGAGAATTTGTGCTGTCAGGTTCACAAAAGGTCCTATTACTGCCTGTGTGAGGAAGAAGTCTATGTTAATACTGACTTAATGGAGAAGGTAGTTTGAACATAGCCTCGTCTACTCTGTGCATTTCAGAATAACATGACTTCCATCTGAGCTGAAAACCATGGAGCTGTCAGGAGCACGCTTAGCCTTACTGGACAGAAGATTCTAGCAGGATGGGTTATCTGGTTTCCAAGACTACAGTGGATTAGAGGCATCAGTGTAGAAAGCAAGTCCACCATGAGAACCTGGGAGGAAAGAAAGCTTTCAAGAATCAAAGCTATTTAGAGGCCCCTGGGTGGCTTAGTCGGTTAAGTGTCTGACTTCAGCTCAGGCCGTGATCTCATGGTTTGTAGGTTTGAGCCCCGCTTTGGGCCCCACACTGACAGCATGGCGTCTTCTTGGGATTCTCTGTCTGCCCCTCCCCCACCAGCGCTTTCTCGCTCTGTCTCTCTCTCTCTCAAAAATAAATAAACTTTAAAAAAATAATTAGGGGCGCCTGGGTGGCTCAGTCAGTTAAGCGTCTGACTGGCTCAGGTCGTGATCTTGTGGTTCGTGGGTTCTAGCCCCGCGTCGGGTTCTATGCGGACAGCTCGGAGCCTGGAGTCTGCTTCGGATTCTGTGTCTCCCTCTCTCTCTGCCCCTCCCCTGCTCACACTCTCTCTATCAAAAAATGAATAAACATTAAAAAATTGTTTTTAAATATTAAAAGAAAAGAATCCTAGCTGTTTGGGCCATTCACTTTTGCAGCAAATATTCTAATAAACTTCAGTAAGAATTCGAAGATATCACCATATAATAGCAAATGTAAGATGTTTACTATTTTAGAACAGATTAGAGTTGTGCCCTGGGAAGGTGGGGACAGTGTTTCTCATTTCACTGTATTTCTAGTGACTAGAGCAATGTCTGGCCTGTGGTCATGCTCAAACTCTTTGCTGAATGAAATATAACAAAGTAGGGGCATTTGTGTTACAATAAAAAGCAGTGTCTATTCAAGGAGCCTTTTTCAGTTTTTTCTTACATGCAGCTACTTAAATAAATAGTATTTCTTTCTATAATAAGAGGTATATCTTTTTCTATCAAGGAAACAACTACCCAGAATGCCTCATTTCTCCTGGGTTCTGGGTAGCTAGCACTTGAGTGGATTACTAGACGTGAGTGGGGTCTCTGTTTTCCTTCTGATGTAAGAGAATTAGGTGAGCCCATCCATAAATGTGGGAATAGACCTTTGGACTTCCTAGTGAGGCTGGATAAATTTCTGCTCTTAGCCATATGTCAGAGCCTTTTTAGAAGGCTTTGCTGTGTAGGAATGTTGCATCATAGGGCCTGTGGGCTGGGGCCTTGGGCTCTGGAGTCAGACTGGGTGAATTTGAATCCCAGTTCTGACATTTATCAGCTGTGTGACCATCTACAAATAAGCTCTGTGTGCTCGTTTCCTGGTCATGACCGTGGTGTCCACCTAGAAGGCTGTTGTTACAGTGAAACGAACGCTTATCAAAACTTCCTCCCATACTGAGCCCTTCTCAAATCATCTGGTATATGCTAAGCGCTCGATAATGGAGGGTAGCTATTTTATTTGCTGTCACGATTCATAGATTACAGTGGGAAAAAATTGCATTAATTCTGATATTAGGGCAACAGCATGACATGATGAGATGCATCTGATGGTCATGTGTGCAAATTGCCTCCCAGCAGTGGGAAGAGAGGCTCCGGGAGCAGCGGAGGACAGTTCAGGATAAGAAGCGAACGGCTGGGCATACCGGTCGTAGCAACGCCCAGAAACCAAAGGGAAAGCCGCCCTCTCCCAAACCGGCCAGCCCCAAGAAGACCGTCAAAGCTAGGAGTGCCCAGAAGAGAACAAACCCGAAAAAAGTGTGAGCCACCTGCTTTCCAGAATGGAGACTGCCTCTCAGGATGAGGCCAGGCACCCCCCAGCCAGCCTGGGGGGGGCGAGGTGCCCCTCTCCTCGCCTTAACGACTGCAGTCCTCCCCATAGACACATCGTACAGCAGTTTTCTTAGTGATACGCTTCAGTTTTTTCTTTTTAAGCCACCACAAAACCCTAGTGGTAGGTATGTCCTTTGGTATGGAAGGTATATGAAAGCTGAGAGCTGGTGGACAAAGCTTCTAGCGGCATTCAGAGTAGCCTTCGTGGTGCGTGGTCTGTGAGATCTCTGGGTGGGGAAAGGGTGCTTTGGTCCTTACCATTTGACCTAATATGTGCATTGTAAAATGAATGCCATATTACAAACAAACCCCCCCATTTTTTTTTTTTTTTTACAATATGTTGTATTTCAGCTTGACTTCTGTTGTTAGAATGTTCGCCATGTTTCAGAATGTGATTGAAAATGCAATGATTCTAAGGAGGGAAGCAAGAGGAATGAAGAATGAATGTCTTAAAAGACCTTTCTATGTTTACTGTTTGCACAAGGATTTCTGTGATGAAAGGGAATTTTCGAACAATCTAGAAAAGTAGGATATGGAAAACTGTAATGTTTGTTTTTGGTTTTGTTTTTGTTTTTTTTACAAAGAAGCCTTTCACCTAGAGTTTTTAGCTAGACACACTCTAGAAACTAAAATAATAATGATGATAACTAAATAAATAAAAGGGAAAGGCAGACATACCACATCCGGATCCTTATTTTCTGGTTACCACGCCGTTGGGTGGAAAGGCTCTGAATTTACATTCCTTGACGCTTCTCGTTAGTAACCATTACATGGCACCAGAAACACAGTGTGTTTCTCCTCTGATGCTTTATATGCCAACGACTCCACCCCCAAGAATTTCACACGGGTGTATGTGATGCTCATGTCATTTCCCAGGATGCCCTAGGCATCTTGATGCCAAGCCTGAAAGAATTTTCTCTCTGCTGGTAGCTGGTGCTTACAGAGGTGCTGTGGGCCCAGTGTGGGAGGGCCAGGACTCCAAAACCCCTGGTTCTCAGCCACCGCCCCACACCAGCTATGCCCCTGGAAAGGCAACTACGTTCACTCTTCCATTCAAGGATGTAGAGGAACGACCTGAAAGCTTACATAGAAAATCTCCTTTAGGTTTACCATTGCCCCTGCTTCTCAGAGAAGGAGTAAGTGACATGTTGCACTCACACAAGATCATCAGACACATGATCTAATCTCACCTCTGTAAGCCACTGGGACGCAGAAATGAGGTGTGTGGGTAAGCCAGGGGAGAGTGGAGAAACGGGGCTAGTAAGAATGCCGGCATGGGCTCCCCTCTCGTCCTAAAAGTGTAACAGGACGCCTGTGTCACCACCACCCCAGGGCGGCAGAGTTAAAGGAATCCAGTAGATGGACTGACACGAGGGTACCAAGAAACACTCGGTGTATGTTTCTGCTATATGAAAGGCCAAACTTCCTTGGCCCTTAAGGACTGCCAGATACGTGTTTAGCAGAGCATCCAAAGAAAGGCCATTAAACGGCCCTGGCAGCCTAGCTTACCTCCTTAGCATTGTAGGGCTTCTTCGGGGAAGGGAATCAGAAATGGAACTCTTCGTGGGAATGGAGAAACAAACACATATGAAAAACCAAAAGTAAACACTATTTTCAGTGCAATACTGAATACAAATAAGAGTTTGGAGATGACTACATACTCAAGCACTGTTTACTTAAAATATTTAACTGAAATCATATACTGAATATTACACAAAACTTGCTACTTCATTAGGAACAACGATACATTATATGATACTTAACTGTGCACATTTATACATCATACGATATGTAATCAGGTGTGTGTATCAGTTTGATTAATCGATAAAAGAGTTAAGCAGGCCTCCAGTTATTATGAAAAAGTCAAAAACATCAGCCCACACTAAGAGTAATATAACAAGTGTGGTAGTGGTCTTTGTGTGAGGATCAGAGATTTATTTTTCTCCCTTAAATATTTTCTCCATCCAAATACATGTGAGAGGAAGTAAATATTAATATGTGGAGAGGAAAGCTGAGGTATTGAAATGATAATTATTTGAAGGTTGGATTGCTTATGTGAGGAAAAAACATTTTTGCAATATTTTGATCAACAAATTTCATAATTAAGGACAATGGGAGGCATTTACTTTTTCAATAATTTTGTTGGTCTTTCAATAATACAGTAAACATGTATTTTCTAGACAGTATTTAATATGTGCATAAAATACAAGTAGTGGAATTATAATCCTACCTAATTCTATCATCACTATGCAGAGGTAATTGCTGTTAGTATTTTGGTGTACAATTGTCCAGGTGTTTCTTACGCATTTATATAATGATTTGAGTAAAAAAAAAAAAAAACAAAAAACAAAAAAACAGGAGCTTATTATACATATTGTTCATTAACCTTCCTTCTTCACTCAGCCTCTTATTGAGATGAGTTCTCATGTCAATAAAGCTGATGCCACCTCATTTATAATGGCTCCGTTGTAGTCCGTGGTTGCTTTACTCTACCAACCCTTACGTTATGAGGCATTGATGTTGTTTCTTAACTGAACATACTGAATAACTGAGTCAACATCTTGATAACTAATATCTGTGCACATCCTTCATTGGTCTCTTGGGATAAGTCAGTTTAAGTAGCACTGCTGGGCCATAGAGTTATGTTCACCGAGGAAAGTCCTCGATTATGGTGTCAATTATCCATCAGGATATTGGACCACAGATAGGTAAAAATGTTGACTCTCCAAATCCTCACTAAGATTGTTTTGACCTGCCAATATTTCTTTATAAATCTTAGCTGGAAACCGGATGTCGTCTTGGGCAAAGCCCTGCTCTTCCTCTGTGAGCTATCAATGACCACATTCTCAACACTCCAAATACTCAGGAAGCTGGGGAATGAGTGACGAAGGACTTCAAAGAGGATATAGTTGATGGACAGATAGATGATTGATAGATAGATTATGATGAGATGATTGATAGATGATGATGATAGATGGCAGATAAGATAGATGATAGATAAGATAGATGATAGATAAGATAGATAGACTGATAGATAAGATAGATGACATAGATGATAGATACATAGATGATAGATGGTGATGATAAATTAGATGATAGATGATAGATAGATAGATAGATAGATAGATAGATAGATAGATGATAAATCTCTTGACTGGGGAAAGTCTATACAACCTCCTCAATCTTTTTGATGATTCAAATTTAGTAATATAACCAGTCAGCTAGAGAAACCAAAGAATTAGGGTGTAACAGACATGTCAATAGATTTGCTCTCAGTCCAGCCTTCTTTTAACATACATGAGAATTTGGATAAATAACCTTAGTTTCTTACTTTTTAGTTAAAACCAATGCAGTGTGAACACACTTTTGGTTTCTGTCCTTGGATACTTAAAGAACTATCCATTAGGGGCGCCTGGGTGGCGCAGTCGGTTAAGCGTCCGACTTCAGCCAGGTCAGGATCTCGCGGTCGTGGTTCGCTGAGCCTGCCGGGTTCTCTGGGCTGATGGACTCAGAGCCTGGAGCCTGTTCCGACTTCGTGTCTCTCTCTCTCTCGCCTCCTGTTCGTATATCTCAAAAAATAAATAAACGTTGAAAAAAAAAAATTTAAAAAAAAACAAAGAACTATCCATTGCAAACTTACAATAAAACTCCTTTACTTGAACTAGCTTTAGGGTACTTTTTGTTGGGTGGAACTAGTTCCTAAATAAAAAAGAAGGGCATGTGGTTGGGGTTTTTTGTTTGTTTGTTTTTTGTTTGTTTTTTGTTTTGGCTTTGGGGGGTTGGTTTGTTTTGTTTTGTTTTGTTTTTTTAACCACAAATTTCTACCTGCTGTTATCACCAACTCAAAAAGCAAAAGTGGTTATTTGGAAGTGTGCAATGAGAAAGTTGAATGGGACCTTAGAACTCATAAGCCAGCCCAAAAGAGAAAGGCTATCCTAGGGCTTATCTGACACCTCACATATTGTTAGAGAAAGATCTGGGCCCCCAGAGTTACTCAATTTTAACTTAACAGGCCAAAGTGCTCTGCTTGATCAGTAACATAAAGCCCGGTTATTCGAGGGAAGGCTCATGTATCACCACACAAAGAGCAATAGGAACCAATCATTGCTTCAGTTATAGAATAATATACACCAATACTGATCATATTTCCTAATGGGAAAGTAATTCTTGAAAAGCATTTTACTCTAAAAGATGTATCATGTAACAATGACAGCCATGTCAACCAAAAATGTTAGTGAATTGTCAACTTGGTGACTTAACTTATAAACAAGCAATGATGTGTTCTTCAGATCAACGGAGTATGTGGGATGGTGTATTTACCTTAACATTAGTATTCTAAAGGAACGCTCGACCCTAGGATGGCAACGAAATATCCCCCCTTTTTGTTATTTAAACAACAGAGATAAGTAGAGAAAAGTACTCCAAATGTTAAAATCAGCATTTTGATGCCAACCCTTCCAGACTCTCTCTGTTTGAGTGTATGATAGAATAATGTAACATGACTGCCTTTCCATATAAAGAAATAAAACTGTATTTTCATTTTCTACAACCACATAGTTTAGAGGTACCAGAGTTTATTTTGCCAGTTACTTGTGAGCAGGGATGTTTAAATGTGGTTCCTAAGGCACGCCAGATTTTTGTGACACAAATAATTTTCCACTCGGATTGAATTTTCAGGACGAGAAAAAAAAATGAGCACAAGAGTGCAAAGCGTAAGTGCTTTTGCATATTTTGTTACTTTTAGTACATGTTACTTTTAGAAGATGCTACAAAAATATCATGAGAGAGAGAAAAAGGGAGAGAGAACAAAATGGAATGTCGTATGGTTGTAAGCCATGTAGACACGTAAACATGAAAACGGCTTCGTCGATGACATGTATGTTGATCTGGGTCCTCGGAGAAGCAGGCACAAAATGGAGTTAAGCATGGAA